ATATCTGAAAAGCATGAAGGAAACATCCATGAGAAGATTTGGAGGAAGAGCATTACAAGCAGAGGGAACATTTAATGAATCAAATTACAAGCAGAGGAAAATAGTTAATGAGTGAAAATCTGGGGTGTTAGAGAGCAGAAAACAGTGTTCTTGGTACACTGAGATGAGGTAAAGGAGGCAAAACGGAGATAGGGTCAGTAATTCAAGCAAAAACATGGTGGATTCACTACTTCAAGATTTGGAAGGCGTCAGTATATACACGGTTTTCAAAGTTTGGAAATCACTTAGGAGAGGCCTGTAGAGGTAGGCCTAGGATTGCACTCTGTGGTATTCCAGTGTTTAATAGTTATGCAGGTAATTAGAATTAAACAGAAGAAATGGAGTATAAAGTAAGCAAGAGAAAAAGGAAATGCAGTTGCTTATCTGAAGTAAATACTTTTTAAGAAGTCGAGATTAGAGCAAAGAAATGTCCATGGGATTTCACAACATGCAAACTGTTGATGACCTTGACAAGGACAGTCGCTATGAAATAGTAGAGTCATATCCTAACTGACATGGATTAAGAAGAGCTGTAAGGAAAGAAGGTGAAGTCAGGATCTATAAAAACCTCTCCGAAAGCTTTGACGTAAAGGGAGCAAGAGAAATGGGATAATAGCTGGAGAACGGAAGTCAAGGAATTGTTTTTTAAGGATGCTACAGCATGTTTACTAATGACAATGGCTTGGCAGATGGGAAAACTGATTATGCAAGACAGATGATAATTGTAACAAAGGCATTGATAGAGGAGTTGCGATTCAGAGCATAAGTAGGGGGGTTCCTTTTTGATAGATGCAGGAATACAGAACTCCAATGAAAGGGAAGGTAGTGTGTGGAACGTACAGAGAGATCGGTATATTCGTGGTAGAAAGGGAAGGATGTCACTACGTAAGTTTTTTTTTTTCTTTTTTTTTTTTAAATCCAGGATGAGATAAAGTCATATGGAGGATGGGAAGGGTATGCAGGTTGGAGGAGACATATGTAAGTAGCTGGATAGTAGGAAAGTGAATATATATTTGATGAAATATTTTAAAGGCATCTTTATTAAATATTTTTGAGACATCTTATTGGGAGACCCGAAACTTTGAATTCCGTGGTTTCCAAGGACTCTGAGAAGAAGAGTCCTTCTTCCCATAATGGAGAGATTGAGAACGTCTCAATATCATAAAAACTTACTTTCTTTACTTTCATCTATTACAGATTAAAAGGCAGAAACATGTTGTAGCTATTGTTATAATTCAAAGCCTATCAAAATTAAAATTAGTTTAATCCTGAAAGATGTATTTTGTTTAATCAACCTGTCACTTTTTTCAACACTTTGGGAGGGAATTGAGGTCCCATATAAATTTTAAAATAAAAGACAAACAGGAACTAACCTTTTAGTAAAAATTATTTTGTTTTCATATGGAAAACATCAATACCTTCCGTCATTTAGGGAAAACACACGGGCAATATAGTTGGTTTTTCGTTGTGCCCCTCTCTATCCTACAGGAAAGATGTGATCTTTTAATTGTGTTTGCTGCTTTATTTCTGGAGAGAAAGATATATATGTATATATGTATGATTACAATATACGTATATACACATATATGTGTGTGTATATATATCTCCAGGTTGTATGTAATTCAATATGTCAGATTTTAAGATTCATTATTATTTGGATTTGATGTGAAATCAGATTGTGAATAATGGAATGAGATTGCTCTCCATTTTTTGCTGTTCTTGCATAGCCAAAAATACAAAGATATACATGTACATATAAAATGTATTTGATTAAACACTTTCAATATTTAAATGGCCACATCAAATTTTAAATGGTAGACGGTATCAACAATTGCATTGCACTCAAAATGTTATAAAATCTTTGTAGCACAAATCCTAAAGTGTATGAAAACTAGTGTATTTATATAAAATGCCTCAATAACATGTTTAGATTGAGATATTGAATCCCTCATAGAGCTATATTTGACTCATAAAAAAGGACAGGCAAAAATATTTTTCCTTCTTATACGTACAAATATGATTTTTAAAGCATCTGTGTAACTTATCATGAAGCTATTTCTTATTAATGAAGGATTTAGCACTGTATCCATCTGCTCTTACAAAAGGGGAAAAAGACTTATCTATGAAAATAAGTATAGCACTGTTTTATGTTTTCCTCTTTGGTATTCTATCACCATTTATAGCTTCAACATATGCCCTCCACTCAGGTTCCTGACACAGGCTATCTTCTCTTTTCTGGTTGTAATCACAATACGGTAGAGCGAGAAACAAAGTGAAAAGGTGTTAACAACTGAACTGCAATCCTACCTGTTACCTACTTTACTATAGCAGTGAAGTAGTCCAGACTTATTTGAAGGTGGTACTATTTTTATCTTACAAAATCTACTATAATATTATAATGTTCCATGTAAATTTTCATGTGCTGGCATGCTTACAAGTTAATAGTGTTATAGAATGCTCAGCTCTCAGTATGAGGGGTTGTTTGTGGTGAATTGCAGAACACATGTCATCTATTTGCTGAAAGAATATGGTGTTTAGCAAACTACCTGCTGAGCAACATAATAAGATTTTTGTACAACGTACAAATTACTAATTATTGTATTTTATTTTTCTATGATTTCCTAAGAGGCATTATTAGGGTCTTACAGATGGAGTAAGCCGTTTATTAAAATATCTATTGGCAAATAAAAAGTTACAGTTTTGGTGGTTGAATTTGTGACTTTTTTGTATTGTGTATTTATGCAGATTTAATGCAATTTATTTTTTGATCTAATAAACCTAGATGTTCTTTAGATAATTTAGTAATTATGGATGCAATCTCATAGTTGTAATTTTTTGAAATAATGTCATTAGGTTTAGACATAAATTCACAGAAGTCACTATTAAAAAAACTGGTACATATATATATATATATATTTTTTTTTTTTGAGACGGAGTTTCGCTCTTGTTACCCAGGCTGGAGTGCAATGGCGCCATCTCGGCTCACCGCAACCTCCGCCTCCTGGGTTCAAGCAATTCTCCTGCCTCAGCCTCCTGAGTAGCTGGGATTACAGGCACGCACCACCATGCCCAGCTAATTTTTTATATTTTTTAGTAGAGACGGGGTGTCACCATGTTGACCAGGATGGTCTCGATCTTTTGACCTCGTGATCCACTCGCCTCGGCCTCCCAAAAGTGCTGGGATTACAGGCTTGAGCCACCGCGCCCAGCAATATTTTTATAGTGATTTTTATATTGGGAAATATTTTGTGAGATTCAAGTAAAGTGTTCCTTGCAGAGGCAGTACTGCACAAAAATTGCAGATGAAAAAAAGGTACACATAACATCAACTATTGAAACACGGCTTTAGACCAAGGTTTATACCAGAAACATACACTAAGTTATATATCGGATTATTTATTTATTTATTATTATTATTATTTTTGAGATGGATATATTCTTTTAAAAGTTGCTGGTGAGAAAATAACACTAAAAGTATCCTGAATTAATCAGAACAGTGCTGTATCCATTGTATTTTTTTCTTTTTTATAATTTTCTTACTACAGTTCTAAAAGCCAGTATGAAATTAAAAGTGGTAAGAAAGTGCCTAAAATTCTCTTCTGTTAACAGTTAAGTAGCTTTAAGAAAAGCACGTAGCATTTTTAGAGCTTGTCATTGCCATAATAAGCTGAAGAGTCAAACTTCTTAAATCAAGTGGAACAAGTATATATAAGCCTCTGAATGTACTCTTGAGTTTCAGTTGACAAAGCACCAAAACAGCAGATTCAACCATATGATTATTTTTGATAGAGATGGGGTCTCCAACCTCTGGCCTCCAGAGATACTCCCATCTCAGCCTCCCAAAGTATTGGGATTACAGGAGGCGTGAGCTACCGCACCCAGTGGCTTTTATGTTTTTTTAAGGTTAACATTTTCCAGATTATTTGAATAAACTTATATTTCATAACATTTACCTCTAATAATAAGCCATCTATCAACTATACTTATGTAAGATAACTATTTGACTAGCTACAATTTTGTAAAAGAATTATCTATCTGCCTTGGTTTCCTGAAAAGTTAGATGTTCAGTTTTCACCAAATGTTTTGTACTAAGCCAAAAGAGATGAAACTCAACCTACGGGCAGAATATGTCAGCTCCAGGCAGGAAAGTTTGAGTTTGCCCATGAAAGTTTTCTGAAATATATCTGCCTATCTCAAAGAAAAAAAAAAATGTTATATTCTAACTATAAGCACATTAGCTTCCATCTCTTAAAAATGAGTCACAACACCCAGGCACACAGAAAAGTGATGAAAATCTCCCTGTCAATGTATTCAGGATCAGAAGTTCAGGAGTTAAAGAACCACGAGAGCTAGAATTCATGACAGAAGAAGACAGGACAGTATTTATTGAACAGTAAATATGTGCCAAACATTTGCATTTCTGTTACTCTTTAATATTCAGGACTACCAGATAAGATGAATGCTGTATTTTTGAAGGTGAGGATAGAAGCACAGAGAAGGGTAAATTGGCTTAAGACCGCAGAGTAAGAAATAATGTATTTCCATGCAGCATTTTTACAAGGACATTTATATGTTGATAGACATTTACAGGGTCTTTGTTAGTTTTGTTTTTGTCTTTCAACAACAATCACTAACCCAGAACCCCTTTTGTTTTTTCACTGTAAATACGACAATCACATTTGGAAATGTGGACAAGTGACAGAAGGTAAATCACCCCATCATCCCGTGCTTACAACCGTCCCCTCTGCCATATTCCTTTGACAGAATTCCTTCCCGTCTCCTTTGGCACCCTCCTTAATAGGTCGAATAAATTAACAGGACAAAGAACCGGTACTGTAGCAAATATAACGCTAGTTGAAAAGGGTCTGGGGGTGCGGAGGGAGAAGGGAGGAAATCCTACTCCCAGAGCAAACCAAAAAACAAAAAGAAGAAATAAAAACCCCTATTGGAAGAACATTTACATCATGAAGCTGATTCACGGGGGCTGAGGCTGGTGGGGCTGGGCAGATTGAAAGGGCAGACCCGTAAAACGACTGCATGTGTCACGTGTCCTTAGGCAACGCGGCCATAAAGGACGCGGGGACAAGTGCGCCTCAACAGTTTCTCTTTGGAGATCGTCTGTGCCCACGACTGGAAAATCCAGGTGCCACTGAAGAAGCCCCGTTACCGACTGGGAGCGCCTTCCCCGACCGCCTGCGACGTGCTTCCGGAGACGAGTCCGCTCGCGGGAGGTCACGCCCGGTGGAAACGCCCTCGGGACGCGGACCGCCACGCGGCACGGGCAGGGCGTGCGTCCCGGGCCGAGTCCCGCCTTCCGACTTTCGGCGCCAGGTGTCCCCGCTGTCCCGCTGCGGGAGCAGTTGTACTTCTCCGGGACGCCCTGGGAGGCCCATCAGAGCCCAGCGGGGAGTCGGCGCGACGGGCAGCCGGGCAACGCCGGCGCACACCCTGCCCCATGAGGGGCGGTCGCGTCTCGCGGTCGTTGCCACCACGCCGCGCCGGTGCCCGGTAGCGACGCTCTCCGCGCCACAGCGGCCGCCCGCCCGCGACACCCCCGGGAAGACCGGCGCCCAGCGACGCGCACGCAGCGCCCGCGAACGTCCGCGAACGCCCAACGCCTCCCAGAAAGCTGTGCGTGCGCCTACAACTCCCGGCATGCTTCTCCGGGAGCCGCAGGGCGCCTCGCAGGCCGTCGGCCGCTCACCCTGCCCGCGCTGCGCACGCGTTGCTTTGAGGTGCAGTTCCTCGGCGTGCCGCTGGCCTTTTCCCGGAGCTCTTCGTTCCCAGAAGCTACAGCGCGGCGGCGTCCTCGCCGAGACCCCCGGGGAGGCGTGGCTTCGGGACCGGAAGGAGCGCCTGTTGCCAGGGGAACGGTGCCTGCCGAGGCGCCGGCTCAGCCGCGGATGAACGGGCTGCTGCCGCGGCTGCGGGTGTTGCCAGCCTGCGGAGGAGGCGTTGCTTGTCACCAGGCATCCTTCCTATGTAGGCATAGAGAAGAAGGCTGAGGGGCCCTCGCTCCGGATCGCCATCCCAGAGACCCATACGCGTGCGTCCGTTCCCGTTACCCGCTCCTGCGCCCGCCGGACGAACCGCAAAAACCAGGTATCTCGCCAGCCCCGGTTTTTAACGCAGAGCCACCCTCTGCGCCGTCAGTTGTAGAATCCCTCTTTCGTCTTTCCCGTGCTTTTGACTCCACGCGCGTAGTTGTTGATAATGTAGAAGAAGTAGAAAAGAAGGCGAGTAATAGAGGCCCTAGAAAACGTACTAAACTGGTTTGGACTAACGTTGGCTTGGTTGGTGGGTTTTAACCATGCCCCACTTAGACACCTGTATTTCGGGTGTGTGTTTGTATACGTGTCATTTAAATACCGTCCTCAAAAACCGAAAGCCGAATAAGAACATCTATTTGGGGTAATAAGAGTAGGCAGCATTTCAATCAACAAACACTTTTGTAGAGTTTGCTAAGTATCATTCGTGGTTTGTCTCTGGGCTACCACTCTGTCTCTGCAGCTTACCCTCTAAGCTGTTAACTGTGGATAACATCCTAATTCTTCTGGACTTCTTTGGCAACATGTAATCCTTTAGGAAACAGTCTGTCAGACAATAGCCAAGAGAATTTGGCTGGTGTGCAAAGAGAGGGGTTCAGTAAGATTTAAAAAAAAAAGGAAGATTGCAGCCAGATTGTGAACAACCTTAAAAGCTATGCTTGGAAGTTTGAACTTTATTCTGAAAGCCAGGGTTGAGAATCATGGCTATTGGAGTAGAAAGCTGCAGAAAACAATTGTATATCTCACTGTACTCTTAAGACATGATAAATAAATACTTGAGTGGCTTGAATTATCTTTTATTAATCTATGTATGCAGAAAGTCAACTTATGGAAGGAAAGTTATAACTACTAGAAACGTAGAAATTTAAAGGCTCTATGATAGTTGTTTGTAAAGCAACTTCAGTAAATGTGATTACCTCTTTTAGAAAAACTGCCTTCTCTCCTAAATTGTGTGTCCCAAAATACTTCAGTAACAAGTATCAAGTGTTTGGTAATCTATGGAAAAGTGATGGAAAGTCTCAATATAAGGTACTGTGAAAAACAAATATTCAAGCATCAGTCTTTAAACACTCAGTACTTTATAGTAGACGCTTAGAGGGGAAAAATGTGAGAAGTGATCATTTTTTCTTAAAATATGTTCCAAATTGTATGAAATGAAAAACAAGATATAAGCATTTATATCAATATGTTTACTCAGTAAATAAAGTGAGTAATAGCAAATTTACTTTGAATTCAGATGGTCTGTGTGAATTGCTTCATGACATCAGAAGGTTAATTTAAAATAGATTCTACAAATGCTGATCCTTAAGCTGAGATTTAAAGAAATGGACTGAATAAGATTTGAATCTCTAATACAAGGAGAAAAGTAGATTGAAGTGGCACAAACGGAAGTACCTAAGGTCAAACTCATCCCTGGGGAAAGACAAGCATGGTTCTGTTACAGGCCTCACCATTTGGTATGGCACTGTACCATCTCTTCTCTGCACATCACTGAAATTCAGTTTTGAAATTTCTAACCATAATCATCTCCCAAGAGGTCTAAGCAAAATGTTGACTATGCAACCTCCTTTTACATATAGTTGTCTTGGAAGCCTCTTATTGATAAAGTTGCTACAGCCTCACATCCTTCAAGATGTGGCCTTTCCTGAAATTGTATGGAGTAAAAAGTATTGATAGTTGAAACTGTTATATGACAGGTTGCTTATGTAACCTTAGATGGAGATGAGAATAAGTCAATTTAATGACAATAAAAATATTTAGAGAACTGTGAAAGTGACCGTTGCTAAGTAGTGGGAGATATTTGGTACACAGATATGTTGTAGCGTTTCCTGCAGCAGTTGGGGGTTGGAAAAAGGGATCTCGCTGTCCTCCTACCACAAAGATCTGGGGAGCAGTGGACCCAAAGTGAACTCCTGCCAAAAGTTTAGCTTAGAGACCTGAAATGTAAATGTAACAGTACCTTAGGTGAATCTAAACAGCCATAAAGTTACCACATAGCAAGTCTTATTTGACTTCCAAATACTTCTATTTTTAGATTGCTGATAGAGGGTTTTTTTTAAGTTTGCATTAATTTTTTTTTTCAAAGAACCAATAGAACAAGCTAAATGAACACTTTGGGGACAAGTTAACAAAGAAATTTTAAAGATATTTTTAAAAATTGAATTAAAATCTATAATCAGCATTTACTTTCTTCTATGACTATGATAAAGTTCTTTTAAAATAGCACTTAGTAGGATGTTTCAGATAAGTAACAGTTAAAAAGCAGATATTTAGTAAGGTTCAGTAAACTGAATGTGTGTGTATTTATACATCACCTTCTTCACAGAGGGATTTGTGGTGACTTACAAAGATATATGTAAAGAATAAAGGGAATTAAGGATAAGTGTATCAGGATTCTTTGCTTCTGCTAACAGAAAACCCTACTTAAACTGGAAATAACCAAGCAAGGAAACAAAAACAGTGAATATGTTGTAACTTCATATTATTGCAAAATAAACAATGGCGGTGGCTTCTGGTAAAGATTTAACCAGTGGCTCAAATGATAGAACCAAAATCTCAGTTTTTCTCTGCTTTTCTGATCTGACTTCTACTTTCTGAGTTTCAGCATCAGACTACATGAACCCCATTGCCCATTCACTGTTTCAGGTTATCTGGAAAGGCCACAGGCCTAATTTTTCCATACTTTCCAGTGTCACAATTGGCAGACTCCAAATGATACTGAGGCTGACCATGTTTTCTTCTTAAATATTGTAAATTACGGAGAGAAATGCTGTTATTTCAAAGCCATTGTCTGTGTTGCCACCTGTTATAAGCCGCAAATCTGCGTATCAGTTAAGGCTCCTTTCTGGTAATCAGCTTACACTCTGTTTACTAAGTGCAAAGCTACATTGACATAGTTTTCACACTATTATTATGTGTATTTAAATTACTACTTTTTAAAAATACACATACACATATTTTCTATAACTTACGGTGCCTTTGGGTAATATATTATTTTTTCTTACTTGCAGCTGGTTTCTAAATATTTGAATCACATTATGGGATTGCTAGACAGACTTTCAGTCTTGCTTGGCCTGAAGAAGAAGGAGGTTCACGTTTTGTGCCTTGGGTTAGATAACAGTGGCAAAACAACGATCATTAACAAACTTAAACCTTCAAATGTAAGTATCTTGGTTAGATGTTTTATGTATTTCCTGCCCTGAAGAAAGTTAATGTGCAGAATTGTGTTGTATGACATTATAACCGCATATAATCGTGTTACGAGCAGTCTGTTAACTTTTCAGTACCTTCTGGTATCCTCAGCCATGATTTGTAGTGTATTTTATACAGTGAATCTCGATGATTAAACTGGGATATTATTTTTAAATGTCTTTCCTTTCCAAAGATATTCACAAATTGACTGATTTTGCTTTTAGATTTCATTGCCTTCTTTTTAGTTTTCTCCTTTCAGGAGGAGCAAAACAAAGTGTGTATAATTAGACAGTTCTCAAAAGGATGGTGTGCATATAGTAATGGTAAGCAAGATGATTTTAAGCAGCAAGTGTAAAGACATATTGTAATAGCTGAAAAATACTCAAAGCTACCACATTTAACATGTAATGTGTGAGTTAAAATTAAGGTCTGCTGCCTATAAAGAAAACCTGTCTGATAGTAGTTTTCCTAATTTCTGGCACCAGTTCCTGAGCCTTCATGTTGAGGCAACTATCCTGTCTTAGAAGAATTAACCTCCAGGTCCTGAGAGAAAAGTGATTTACTTTGCTTTTTTTTTTTTTTTTTTTTTTAATGGTAATTGTAACAGCCAAGGAGCCACTTGAAATAGGATTTCCTAAAGGGTTCCAAACCTTTGTCATTCAGGTATAGGTATAGATATATAACACTTGCTTCCTTCCTGCACCAAGCTCGAGAAGAGTCTCTTGTAACCTTACATCCACTACTAGAACATTATTTTTAAGGAATTAAATAAAATAATTCTAGAAATCTACAATGCTCTAACCTTGCAAAAAAATAGTGCACATCTCATTTTATAGTAAAATTGTCTCCTTTTTTGTGAATAAAATCAGTTTCTAGATAAGTAGTTTTTCCTGGACACAAACGAGTTTTTCATATTAAGTTGTCTTCATGTTTATTTGTTGTTAATGTACTGAGGCTGCTGGTATTTCTAAACTTAATAGGGAGAGAGGGAAGACATTTTAACCTGATCTTTTTCAAAAATCTGATCTTAGCTGTCATTTTTTTTAGAGATAAAGTCTATATACATTTTTAAATTTTTTTCAATCTTTATTCCACTCCCCAGCATGCATGCTCTCATTGTCACATCATCTAGTTTTCATATCATTTTGTATTGATATATAATAGTTGTACAGATTTAGGGGTTACATGTGATAGCTTGATACATGAATACAATGCATAATAATCAAATCAGAGTCATTGGAATATCTATCACCTCAAACATGTATCTTTTTTATATGTTCAGAATATTCTAATTCTTCTTTTCTAGCTGTTTTGAAATACACAGTAAATTATTGCTAACTATGGTCACCCTACTGAATTATCAAACACTAAATCTTATTCCTTTATCTAACTGTATTTTTATACCCATTGATGAACCTCTCTTCATCCCTCTCTCCCCACTACCTTTCCCACCCAGCCTCTGGTGACCACCTACTCTGTATCTCTGTGAGATCTACTTTTTTTAGATCCCACAAATGACTGAGAACATATGATATTTATCTTTCCAGACCTGGCTTATTTCACTTAACATAATGACCTTCAGTTCCATCCATATTGCTGCAAATGACAGGATTTCAGTCTTTTTTTGATAGTCGAAGAATATTTCATTTTGTATATATACCAAATTTTTATTACCCATACATCCATTGATGGGCAAAAATTAATTCCAGATCTTGGCTATTGTGAATGGGGTACTATAAACTTGGGAGTTCAGGTATCTCTTTGATACATTGATTTCCTTTTTGTGGATATGTGCCCAGCAGTAGGTTTGCTGGATCATATAGTAGTTCTATTTTTCGTTTCATGAGGAAATGCCTTACTGTTTTCTGTAGTGGCTGTACTAATTTGCATTCCCACCAACAATCCACGAGAGTTTCCCCTTTTCCACACTTCACTTCCAGCATTCATTGTTTTTTTGTCTTTCTTGATAAAGACCATTTTAACTGGGGTGAAATAATATCTCATTGGGGTTTCGAGGTATATTTTCCTGATGATTAATGATGGTGAGCATTTTTTCATATGCCTGTTGGCCATTTTGTCTGTATTCTTTTGGGAAATGTCTATTCAGATCTTTTATGCATTTTTTAAATCAGATCTTTTGTGGGTTTTTTTTTCTTGCTACTAAATTTAGTTCCTTCTATATTCTGATTATTCTTTGTTGAGTCGATATTATGATATTATGTAACTATTTTCTGTAATTCTATAGGTTGTCTCCTCACATTGTTGACTGTTTCCTTTGCTGTGTAGAAGCTCTGTAGCTTGGTA